CTCCAGCGCTCCTCCGGGAAATAACCCCAGCCCGAGCCCAGAAACAGAGCGAACAGCAGGGCGAGCAGCAGCGAGGTGACCCGGGGCATGGCAGGGAGGGGAGAGAGAGGAAGGAAAAAGAGACGGAGCTGACGCGGCAGAAAGTGGTAGCCGGAGAGGGGGAGACAGGGGCTGCAGAGGCAGAGGAAGCTGGTGTCTATGCCGACATGGCGGAGGGTCTGGATTTAAAGGGGAAGGACAGGGCCGCGTCAAGGAGAACTCACTGTCACCTTAATGCCAAATAATCCACATTTATGATGAGAATAATAATAGTAACAGCATTGAAATTCAGAAACTCTTACGACGGAATGCCCCCTACTTAAACACATAATAAAAAATATAACAATAATTTATGATTTCCATCTCGAGCGCTTTCTTTCTCCTTTCCCTTTAAGAACAAACCCAGCAGCAAAACTCAGGAAGCGGACCAGAACGTTCTGTTCTGGGGAGCGCTTTAAGAACCTTTTGGGGGAACGTTCTTTTTTCGCTCCCTTTTACCCCAAAAGTTTACCCTTTGGAGAAATAAAAATGTTACCAATGCCATTTGATGCTTTAATAAGTTGCAAAAGGTTTGTTTTGAGTGGAGGGGAAAAGAGAGACATTCTTCAAAAGATGGTAAAACAGCACACTTCAAGAGAAAGTAAAACGTTTTTTTTTGTGTCTTTATTTATAATTAATTAATTATCTTAATTTATATTTAATTAAAAAAAGATAATTTCACTCCTCCCAATAATATATTGAAAAATCGTAGTTTGGCTTGCAGCAATAAAGTCTGATTTTAAACAAAACAAACATTATTTTGACTTATGAGTGTTTTACAGAAGCCATGATGCTTGCAGCTGTGATTTGCATTGTGTTGTATTTTTACTGCTTCCTGTGCTGCAGTTCCTCTCTGGCTCTGTTCAACTCCGCTCCAAGAAGCAGCACATGTTTCCCTGTCCAATGTGTCCTCCCTGTCAGATGGAGTGCTCGGGCAGAGTCTGACGAGGAGCCTTCACACATGTAGCCTGGTGTGTGTTGGCACACTGAGTGGGCCAGCTCTTCATGGTTCACCAGTTCAGACATAAGATCAGAGCTGGAGCCGCTCAGCCAGTTGGCGCAAGCAGGGAGAGGGATGAACAATCCCGGATTTTAGGGGCCCCTTCTGGGGCCCCAGAAGATGCTTTGTATTTTTGTGAATGAATAAGGTCAGAATGTCTTAAGAGTATCACTGGCTAAGAGGATTTTGGCGGGGTTGTTGTAAAAAAAAAAATTCTAATTTGTTCTGGCAAACGTTCATCATGAATGCTTGATTATTATTGGTCCAAACAGAAATGTTTTTTTTTTTAACATTTAGATTTGACAAACAATTTTAAAAAAAAAGTGAGAATACTTTATTGTAAATTTGTCATTTTCTTTACACCACTCAGGTGGAAAACCATAAATACAGGTACAAATATCCCCAACCTAACACCCTTTAGGGAGTTGTATCTCCATCATAATCTTTACAGATTCTGACATAATCTGTAGAGATTATCAATGAGCATTTGGTATAATTGCAGATGGATACCGGCTCTGTATACAGGCAGATTTGGTGACCTTCGATTTGGTTCCTTCCAAATTTTTTACACACAGTGTAAAAAATGTCATCAAACTTCAGTAGGTTTGATGCCGGAAGCCATTCCTCAAGATTAATGTTAGACTGATTCCAAAGTCTGTTCTTAATCATGGTTTCAGTCTTTCTCCAGCCAGAACGCCAGATGTTTCAACTGTCTGATCTGACCCAGACTATGTTCCTTTGGATGAAAGAAAATTGGTTTGAAAGGTCACAATGCAGGTTTTTTTTCCTGTCTACCTCGAGCCAGCTGGCTCTGTCTAAAGACTAAGTTGGTAGAGATGGGAGAGAAAAAAAGCAAAGTCAGCTCGACAAGAACTGAAGGTTGCTGGAACGCCAGCGTAAGTTTCCAGAGTAAGGAAAGGCAAAGAAAGACGTCTCTTGTTCAAACTCTAAACTTTCAAGCCTTGCTGATGTGTGCTATGGTCAGACAAGACACAAATTGAAAGACTGAAAAATGTTTTGGTGAGTCAAAGTAGGATGTTCAACCAAAAAATGCTGCATGACGGTTGACTTAACGCAGTTGAGTTTAATCAATAGTCTAAGTCCCGATTCTTCCGCTTTAGCTCAGAACAACAGCTACAGGAGGCTGAAACTTAGACAGCAGTGGATTATTTAGTAGTTAACTGAATCCAAAACACACAGCAAGCTCGCTTTGGGACGGATAAAGCAGGATAACTTATTTTTTTTATATTCATGATTTCTGCCAAAAGCCAGATCAACACCAGGAAGCCAACTGGATGAACTATAACAACCAGATGAAACGGCAGTAAACATCCTAAAATATAAAATGTCTCCGTTTCTGATAAGAGCTCATCTCCACAACTAACTGGACATGCTTCAGTTTGAATTTGTCCTCTGAGTTTTTCCAGGGCAAGCACGGCATCATAATCTTTACAGATTCTGACATAATCTGTAGACTCACTAGAGTCTGGTGTGTGGACTCCAGTGAGTCTTCACACCGGAGCGCTGAACCGCACCGGGCAAAAGCAAGACACATGGAGGATAAATGAGATGAATATCAAATGTGTTCTGGAACAGATGAGGGAGCCGCCCATACCGGAGCTTTGATGTCGTGTTTGTGGTATGTTTGCCCAGCAGGTTTGTTCTTCACAAGAGCTAATAGCCAGACAGGCGCTGAGTTACAGAAAGGATTCTGACGACAGGAAGCTCTGTAGTCCCTATAGCCAGTCTGTCCTCTGACTTACCTAAAACACACACACAAAAAAATCATACTAATCGGTTAAAATAATAAATCTGCACATTTATCTGTTTTGAAGGCGATCACTAATGTGCTGGCTCATGTCACACACTTAACGCACAATGTTCAGGTACGGAGGTGCAGACGTGACAACCAGAAAGCTCCATCCACCTTTAAACACGTGATGTGTTCAAAGTTGAAACGTTGAAGACACTGGATGAAGCTTCAGTGGAAGAACCAAATGCAGATCCACTCTCAACCTCTCTGGCGTTACGACTTCCCACTGCAGCATCGCTGCTGACCTGCAGGTGGCGACGTGACCAGATCCCAACCACGCACTGAGGCAAAGTCCCCTCTATGATAATCCTGTCAGCCGGGGCGTCCTGAACCAGTGCCATTGTTGAGTTTTATGAGTCATAGGGATTTGTTTTTGATTTCCTGACTCTCGGCATACAGAATGAGAGGGCGGGGCTCAGAGGACTGTGTGTTTCCTCCTCAAATATTCCAGCAGATGAGAGCAGTAATGATGCTCACAGAGAGGAGTCAGATTACCCAGGATGTCAGTAGCACGCTCTGTTAAAAATCAGTGGGTCAAAAATACAGAACACAAAGAATCTGATTTGTTCGACTGGAAAGCGTGAAGTCAAAGGAAACGAAAGTTGAAGTTTCCAAGAGGAAAATTATTTTGGAACTTCTCCAAACCATCTGCTTTGCTCTGGAATCTGTTACCGCACAGTTTTTCTTCCCTCGTTGACAAGTAGACAGTGAATAGCAGGATAATGAAACATGAAATTTTCCTGCACAATTTTACAAAATGCAAAACCTCTTGAAAACCATACTGAAGACAGACCAGCTTATTCTACTTTAATTCAGTTTGAGTCGATGCCGTCACAAGAGACGATCTGCAGCTTTCAGCAAAGGGAGCGCATCAAAACGGGCATACATGTTTCAAAGATGTGCTTGATATGTTATTGTCATTGCTTGCCTCAATCTTTACATTTTCTTTTAAACATATTTATGGCATAAAATGTGCTCTATAAGTAAAATTAAAATAACTAATTGACTTCGAAGGCAGTCAACTTGTGGGACTCAATGTTCCCCCAGAAAGCTTGAGGTTTCACACATTTTACAAAAAATATCTTCAAAAATCAAATAAAAAAAATCTATATTTTATCTACTCGCTATCTAATAATTTAGATAGTGTATTATTATTTTGATACACTTTCAAGGGTGGCTTTATGGTCACTCATGTTAATTGTAATGTGCCTTTAAACATGTCTCTCTTCTGCAAAAAAAAAATACATATATATATATATATATATATATATATATAATATATATATATATATATATATATATATATATATATATATATATATATATATATATATATATATATATATATATATATATATATATATATATATATATATATATATATATATATATATATATATATATATATATATATATATATGGTAGAAAACAAAAAAGATGAAAGACACCATTTTTGCCCCAATCATTTACTACATTTCACCTGAACCTGGTCAACGGTTGACGTACACGAGCAAAGAAATATGAATGGCATGAAACTGATCTGCCTCATGAGTTCAGGATCTGAGCAGCTCAGAGTGTTAAAGGCCAACGAAACTGGATCCACACAGAGGAGTTGCATGTCAAACAGCAGAACTTTATGACCAGCCGACCTCTGTGAAAAGCCATCTTTTCACAGCAGCTGACTGTCGATCAGATTCTGATCGACAGTCACGGAAGAGGAGGACGCACTCTGAATCATAATGACGAGAATTACAATTAAACTTTTAACAGTTTCTCTTTGCTTTACACATCAAAATCTGCAGTCATGTGGTTTGTACGCTTAAAGTAACTTTACAACCTGGTGGAAAATTGATAACTCGTATTCAGACCTGTTTATTTTTCTTTTACTTTGACACAGACACAGTTGGCGCAAAAAGGAAGGAGCTAAGTCTTGATTAGGAATGTGAACATTGATAAATCACAGCTCTAAAGAAGTCAGACCTTCGCTGCTGGGCGATGCACGGCTTCATCGAGTACAGACGCGTCAGATGAGAAGACTGAAAGCAGATATTCTGTTATTCAGCTTCACTTCTTCTAAACAGATGCATGCCAACCAACCACCATGCAATCCTGACACCGGGACGCTTGAGTGCGCCTCCCATTTGCCATTCTCCAGTTCCCAGTTTCCCCCTCGCCGCTTCATTCTGACAAACTAAACTGTCAGAACAGCCATGAGTGACCGGGCCTCTTCTCCTTCTTCACCCCTGCTCGGATCAGAGGCAGACACTGGTTTTCCCTCACCGCTTGCATCTGCAGAATGTTGCGAGGAACACGAGGAGTACCTGTCCTTGTTCTGTCTGGATGACTTGGAGCCTTTATGTAAACACTGTGCAGCTGACAGCCACGCACGCCACAGGGTGTACCTTTCAGCGGAGGCCGCAATCGACTGCAAGGTAGGAAATCTGGAATTTTGGTGCTGTTGTACATTTTAACTTGACCTTTGATACTCTAAGGTGTGTGCTTACGAGAAAGCATTCTAAATAAATCTTTCAGGAATAGAAACAATTTGTTGAAGCTATAGAGTTGGAAGTTTAAATTGTCAGAAACATTTAAACATTCAGGCTTCCCCACCCTAATCAGGATGATACTAGCCTGGTAAGAAACCAGATCCTTGTTCTAGGCTTTGCTTCGCACAGCTGGTCTGGACTCTCCACTGTTGAGAAATGAGGCGTGGACTAGGTTGAGGTGTTGAATTTTACCTAATCGCTGCAAAGAGCCATCTTCCAATGCGAAGAGAGAAGTGCAGAGCCGAATGGAGATGGCTGTCAGTGCTAACTAAATATTTGAAAGCGTGGCCAACACGTTCTGAAAAGCTTTGTTCACTTCCTCTACTGTCATTGCTAAAAATACAGGCAGGCTGCAATTGTAAAACAGCGTTGAAAATCAATATCATCATTCACAACTTCTCCTTCTGTTCGCTGATTGGCCTGGTTAAAATTCTATGGAGTGAATATCTGTGCGAGTGTAAAGTAACTATTTGTGAATGTGTAAAAGTACTTGCATGTGTAAAAATATTTGCATGTGTAAAAATATTTGTGTGTGTGTCTAATGCTGGAGTTGTAAATCATAAAAATAAAATAAAGCTTCTACGCCTACAAATGTTGAAAAGAATGCGCACAAGACACCTGGTACACGCACACAAAACTGAATTTACGCATAGATCCGGTTACGAGTGCACAAGTATATTTGAGACTCATTTCACGCTTCCGGAGCTCCCAGATTTGTGCGTAGATTGTGCGTTTACATGGTAGTAGAAAGCTGGGTCATTTGAGTCTAGTGTTTTTATCCTCTAAATGTTTCACTGTGTTTGTGCCGAAGTGGCAAATACGTCAGTTCGGTGGAAAACGGTACATCTCAGAACTTCCTTATAATATCCCAAAATTATTTATGGACATATTGTGCATTTTTGAGCGGTACAGGCGACTAAGTGGTCTGAAAAATGGCCACTGGGTGGCGGAATGGTTCGCCGGCTGGAACCAAGAAACGAGGGCGGAGCGTCCTGGTGGTCTGCCCTCTGAAGTAAGTAGAGGCTAAACCTGCAGCCTTTGCTCTCTGATGGAGTAATTTACTTTTACACATGCTTTGAGACTATTTTCGCTCCATAAGATATGAGCAGCTCAGCGTGTTAAAGGCCGTTAAATAACATTAAAAAAGATTCTGGGATAAAATGCAGAGCTACATAAAAATAAAAGTGGCAATTCTTCACTGCAAGCAGGACATGCTTCCTCAACACACTGGAGAAAACATGACACAGCAATTTGCTCTGATCGTGGATATGAGGAGGTTTCGATGACGAGCCGTTTGATTGTTGATTCCTTGCCTGCTCTTGTGTCCTTGTGGAAGCCTAACTATCCTGTTAATTGACATATATACCCCAGGAAAATAAAAAGTTAATTGCTATTGATAAAAGTTACTAGAAAATGTTTTTTTTATTTTTTTTTATTTCGAGATTAGGCTGCTGAAATAAAAGACGAGTTCATTTTATGGGTTTTTTTTTTTACCTCAACATGACATTAAATGTGACTTCCCCTGCATTTATTCTAGACTATGTGTCAGTCTTTATCTTACACCTTTACTTTGACAATATCCCAAAAGTAAAAAAAAAATAAATAAACTTAATTGAAATGGAAACGGACTGTACTTTTCCCCAGAAAGCAATAAAACGGATCATGAAGTGCTGAGAAGCAGAGCAGCTGGCATGAATTGACTTTTCCCCTCATGGACACCAGTTGACTGCCAACCAGAATGTCTGATCACTGGTGTCCCAAGTCATAGAAGCCATGACGCCAGAAAGTCAAAACCAAAAATTCGCAAAAGTTGTCAAGAATTGCCAGAAGTGCAGAGTTTTACAGGATCTGTATGCTCCCCCTCCCCATCTTGAGGCCCTCTCCGAGTGTTGTGTACTTTTTCCTCCGCCTGCTTCCTGAAGCCACATCCGGCAGATGTGTAAACAAGGAGGATTCTTTACAGGCCTCCATAAATTTTCTGGTAAAAATGCATTTTTTTCTCCAAACAGACGCTGCCTTGTTTAAATTGAACATGGTCCTGATTCACTATGAGAGACTCTTCACAAATTGTACTTGCCCGGTAATCCAAGTGGTTGTCTTTGCTAAAAACTTGGCTCCACGAGGATGTCATCACCATCTTTTTATGGTTTCATCAGTTAACTATGGATTCTGCTCCATGAAGCCCGGTTTTAAAGTTATTCTCCTTTCCAACACTAGGAGGAGCTTAAAACATCACTAATTGGATTAGACGCCAAGATTAAAAACTTCGAGGACGTAATGCAGGCCTGCAGAACAACATCCAAGTGCAACCAGGTGCATCTAACAACAGTAAAACAAAACGTCTCTTCGTCTGGCTGTGAGTGTAAATAAGTTTAACTTTTTAAATCTGTTTCAAAAGAGTGATTCCCACCTCGCAGAGGAGATTGTGAAGGAAGAATTTGAGAAGCTTCATCGGTTTTTGAGAGAGGAGGAAGCAGCCAGACTTCATGCGCTGATGGAGGAGAAGGAGGAGAAGAGCAGGAAGGCCGCGGAGAGGATAAACCAACTAAACGAGGTGATATCATCCCTGGAGGACAAGATCCGGCTGACTGAACGGGAGCTCCAGGCCGGGGGAGACGGAACCAAATATTTACAGGTTACGTCATCAAATTGTGTTTTCTGTTTTTCTTTCTTCTTTTTTTTTTTTTTCTAGCAGTTAAAAAATTACTGAAAAATAAAAAGGAATTTCTCTCAAATCAATTGTGTTTCACAGGAATACCAAGATATGAGTAGGTATGAGGATTTATCATTTTTGTTGATCCATATAAGCGACAAAAACAAAAAATCACAACCATCTGGTCTTTTGTCCATGTTTACTCACTGTAGCACAGGGTGCGGTAAGCCAGGGATGATTCACAGGCCTTTAATCAACGTGGCAAAACACTTAGGCAACCTCCGATACGCCGTTTGGGAGAAGATGAAACAAATCGCCCCCTATAGTTAGTGTCCTCCTCATGCGTGTGCACTTTCTGCTCCGTTTTCCCGCTTTGATGTCTGTTTAATACCCGACGTCTTCCAGCTCCGGTGACTCTGGATCCCGGAACAGCAGGCCGGGCTGTGAGGCCGTCGTCTTCAGAGCTGAGGCGTTTCCATGTCGCCGCTGGACCCCGGCTGACTGCAGAGCAGCTTACGAACGAGCCTGAACACCTCCGCCCTCGTCCCGGCATCCTGGCAGGAGAGGGCTTTAGTACCGGGGTGCACTGCTGGGACATGGAGGTGTCTACATACCGTAACCTACATGCATGTATAATCTGAGTGAAGCTGAGCGATTCTTCAAATCAGACAAAACTGCTGTCAAACGTTTGTGCAGCAAACATGTTCGTTTGAGCCGCTATCATTTTAAAGACCTTAAGAAATGTTCCCAGAGGTCAAGAAAGGTCAACCAGCCTCCCTCCCCTTTTTTCTCTACTTTCTTCAGATCAGATAAAATTGGTGTTCATCGACTCAACTACGTTTGAGCGGATTGGTTTGTGCGGCAAAAGTTTTTGTTTGTGCTGCTTTGGCTTTGAGGATATGAATAAAGTCTTACAAGTCATTTTTCGAAAGGTCAAAAGGCTGGTTGACCTTTCAATTTTCATTAATATCTTAAAAGCCATAGCAGCACAAACACAGTCGAGTTTTTTGACACCAAATATTTCCGGTTTGAAGAAGGTGGGTGGGCTTGCGTGACCTTTGACCTCTGATAACTTTTCTTAATATTTTTAAAATGATAGCGGCACAAATGAAAGTGTTTGCTGCAAAAACGTTCGACACCAGTTTTGTCTGACTTGGAGAACATGGGGATGTAAGCTTCACTCAGGGATGTAAAAGCTCACATTTCCACTACGAGCTAAATAAACTTAAAAATCACTTTTGGCAAAAAATGACTCGAATGATGAGGTTATGAAGGTGAAAACTGTGTGTTTCTGTACTTAATTTGTACAGTTGATGTGTTGTATGATAACATTTTTAAACAGCTTCTATTTGATCAGTAGCTGATAGAAGTTTTCCTTTCGACATTCGATGATTTTTCACTCTTTTTTCGTTCACTTCTTTCACCACAGCCACATATTGTGACTTAAAGATTTAGGGTTTGCTAACCCTAAAATAAACCCTATACTTTGATAAGGTATCCGCAGCAAACAGTACTTAAATGTCCTGTCTTTGAAAAAACAAACAGATATCCCAACATGCAACCCCTGAGAGGTGCGTCATCTTTTTCTTTTTTTTTTTTCCAAGATAATTTCTTTCATTGATGAGATTGTTTCTCTGATAGTCCAAAGAAGCATGAGAATGAAATGGATGGACATAAAAGCAACATTAGAAAAAGAAGAGAAAAAGAAATACAAAATGAAACCAGAAAAGAAGAGAACATTAAAACACGGTTAACGAAAGATCAAAAAATGTCGGCAAAAATTCAAATCTGTCAGAATTAGGGAATTATTTGGCGTAACAGATGTGAGATGGCTTTGACTAAACATGCAGTGCTTTTACATGCATGGTTCACCTACTCAGCAGGAAGGAGAGTCAGTGTTGAATAAATTCATGGGAGTTCAGGAGAAGTTGTTTTTGTAGGAACATAATTGATCTGTAACATCTGCCCTGATGGGAGGAGCTGGAACAGGTTTTATCTCGTTTAAAAAAAACGTCTTTGATAATATTTTCCGCGCACATCCTGTGTTGCTGTTCACCTCATTGTAACTCCGTTCTGATCATTCCCTCTTCCTGATTTTATCATAAGCTGGAGAAGCTTTGAGGAGTCTTTGGTGCAGCTGGAATATTAAGCCACCAGGCTGTTTGTCAGGAGGACATTTATAGAAACTAATTAACAGATTCTGAGGGAAGTCATCTCGTTTAAAAACTTAAATTATATACAACTTTCAATGTGTTGAAAGCACGGAAGAGGTGGGTATGTAAATGTAACTCTCAAAATGCAACATTCCATTTCTTTTCCTGAGGTCCTAAGATCTCCAGTCGGTGTTCAAAATCAGGAGAAACATTTCACTGCCAGCTTCTGAGCCAAATTGTTTCGTAAAACTTTGCACACCTTGTTAACCCTAAAATAAACCCTATTTATTTAAGCGTTTTGATGGGAATACAGCCATTGTTGCAAAGTGCAAAGAGCAGGGGGTCCAGCATACGACCCTGCGGCACACCGCCCCGAAGCTGGAGCACATTTTACCAATTGAGAAAGTCCAGAAAATAAAGACTTTGTACCAAAAAGTGAAGTGTTAACCAGGAGAACAACTAGATGATCTCAAGAAATAACGATTCTTTCCGAAATTTCAGGTTAAAGGTTTATCTTTCGTCTCTCAGGTTGGGGAGACCGACAGCTGGACAGTGGGTGTAGCTGTTCTGTCAGCGCTGAAAACCACCGCATGTGATGCATTCCCAGAAGCCGGACTCTGGTGCATCAGGCTCAAGGATGGAGAGTACCAAGCTCTCACGACTCCCACTCAAACCCTCGACGTCGGCGGCTCGCGCCACCTCAACACAGTCCGAATAAAATTGGACCTTGAAGGAGGGACGGTGACATTTGTAGATGCTGACAAGGATGCGCCTCTTTTTACCTTCACGCATTGTTTCACGGAAGCAGTCTATCCTTACTTTGAGTCGTCGTCCGCAGGTGGAGGTGTCACAGTGTTGGAACAGAGAGTAAAGATCAGCGTGGACTCGGAGGATCGGCCCCCGGAAGGCAACTCTCCCACGGAGAAAAGTACCGCAACAAATACAGCGAGCGAAACGGACCCCGCTGTTTTGTGCAAAAAGGAGGAACCAGAAAATCTTGAAGGAAAGGAGAAGACGCCAAACACCAGAAATATTGTCAAGAAGCAGAGCAGAAAGAGCAGGTTTAAGGTGAGCTACCATGTTTCACTGAACAAAGCCCTGAGCGGCACCGGCTAGTTTAACAACTTATTCTTATTACTAACGGAGAACACATATGTAGTTTTATACCTTTAATCTAGTTTTATCAGAACAAGAATCCAGAGAAACCCCTGCTGCTTCATAAATGATGGAGTACTTTTTGTTCTTATTTTGTTTGTATTTCCTCTACTTCATGTAAAGCACTATGAATTGCCTTGTTGCTGAAAATGTGCTATAGAAATAAAATTTTCCTCACCGTCACTCATCATGGAAACTTCAAATAAATCTAAGTGCAAACAGTGTGACAAAAGAAAAAAAAAGAGTTATACAAATCTAATAAAATAAATTTAGGTGCAATATTTTACATTGTGGAAATATAATATTTTTTTTTTGTTCTGCAGTAAAACTACTGGATGAAATGTAGGTTGCTGGGACAACGGGCGGATTGCTTTTTCATGTCCATCAATTAAATGTTATGTATTTTTACTGTTGCAAAATTTCATTTTTACCCAAAAACAAAATTACAACTTAGTCTATATTTTCTAATTTATAGTAAATTACAAGTACAACATACTTTCTGGTTAGTTGTATTTAAATGTTTCAATAACTAATACAACGCACAGCTGGAGTTTTGCTTTCAGAAGTTAAGTTTTATAGTATAGTATGTATAGTTTTAACACAACTATCCTATAGAGTATATGGTTTTATTCTTGCCTCCTATCTAGACATCTTTAGTTGATGTGCTTTAAGATGTAAGAAGTTACTCAAACATTTTATAAACAACATTTATTTGAAAAATCAACAAGGTTTCCAACATACAATGAAGTTTTCTAAAAAAAATAGTAATAAAATATGCAGCAGGCTCCGTGGGTGTCCTCTCGTCTCAGAGAGAAACTTTGCCCTCAACGATCGCTTTACAGAGTTCATCACTAACAGCTTCGTAGCGTCCAGCCCGGCTGTTCAGAAAGTAGATCTGCTCCCCCGAGTGTTGTGGCTTAAAGCTTTCCTTCTGCAGACGTGTTTTTTGAATTTTAAATGTACCTGAGAGGAAAAACAGGGGGGAGGTAAAAAAAAAAACATGTTTGTATTTCAGCTCTTGTCAAAGCAGGTTTGAGTCCTTGAGTCGCGGCCTCACCCGTAGTGTCCACAGATGGCACGAGTCGCAGGAAGACGGGTCGCGCGTAGGAGGGAAGGTGTTTTTGTACGGCGCTCAAAAACTCATCAAGGTCCAAACCGGCTCCCGTGTGAGCGATGGCTGCCATGCCGGCCTTGCCCTCCACGCCTGTGCAAACACAGGAGGCTCTTGAGTTTTCAGGTTTGGGTTCATTTGTAGGTGTGTGTGCGTGTGTTTTTCCATCTCATCCGTACCTGGAACAGACACTCCGTAGACGGCTACATCAGTGTGTCCCAGCAACCCGCTGAGGACCCCCTCCACCTCTGTGGTGGAGACGTTCTCCCCCTTCCAGCGGAACGTGTCCCCGCTGCGGTCCCTGAAATACATGTAACCGTATTCATCCATCACCAGCATGTCGCCTGATGGACAAAAAACACAAAGGTGGAGAAGAAGGAATCAGGAATTTCATCCATGAAGTAGGAATCAAAGATAATTATCCTTCTGAAATAACAGGGTAAAAGTGGGTGGATCGATGGAAAATATCGATACCAAGTCGGTATCTGTATTGGATCGATACTATCGATACAAATCATGTTATTAAGTCATTAAAGTATTTTGTAGAAATCTATAAACCTCGTCCAGATTCTGTCCAACTTTTGAACAAAAACAATTCAGAGGTCAGAAAGTTTGATCATACATAAAACTTGAATAAAAAGTATCGAAATCAGTATTGATATCATACATTCGGACCCTGTATATGGTTGGCATTGGATCACATTTTAGTGTCGGACTCAACAATTTAGAAAAGCCCAACTTTTGATTGCTAGCAGGGGATGATTTGCTCAGCTTTGCAGTAGACTCCAGCTGGAACCCTGTGTTTTGGTTAGCTGAGTCTAAAAATAAGCTTTTCAGCTACAAACACCACAGGTGGCTTTGGACGTGGAACAAAGGATGAGGTTTGGGAAAGCACATCATGTCCACGAGTAAGTACAGGGAAGGTTTTGCGATGCTGCGTGTCTATTTATTTATTTTTCTTATTCCAAAAGCCTCAGAGGTAAATGGTTCATGATTGGATCTTTCACTGCAATAATGAGCCAATCGGGAAAACAGTGACAAGACGGCACCATGCACTCTTAACAAACTGAGAAGTAGAATTAAATACTTAGATTTTTCTAGATTGTTCAGTATCAGATTTTGTTTCTGTTGTACTTTTTTCTCTTTTCAAGCCATAAGCTTTCATTTCTTTGTCAGAAAAATATCCAAATCTTAGAGGGGGGGAACACCATGAGAGAATCTATTATTAAACATGTTCTATTCTTCCTGTCACAGGGAGCTGAAGCCCGCCTTATCTTGAACTGACCAGCAATCGGAGAACACAGACGACTTGTTCTTGCGTCATTTTTATGCTTTTCACCTCCGCGTGTGTCGCTGCAACGTCTCCTCCAGCTTTCTTACACCGAAGGAAAGCTGGAGGAGACAAAAGCCTCTCCTTTGTCTGAACACGGCAAGGCTGGAAAACCAGAGCCCAGATGTGACATCATTATTATTCAGAGACTGACACGCGGAGCGCATGCAACATGCCTGAGACGTAAGCAGAGTCTCCCATCTGGAACACATGGTGAGCTATTTTCTGATTGGTCGAGTCCTGATCGGCGTAGCCGTCGAACCGCCTGAGCGGATCCTTGTCGTTGATGCGGCCCACTAGCATGCCCGGCTCCCCTGCAGAGGCAAAGGCAGATGCGTGCATTAGGCACCTGTTTGATACCTTTCTTTTTTTAGTTTGCGTGTGTATGTGAGAGAGTTGTGTCACCAGGCAGACAAGGTATGCAAAGTCCCTGCGAATCCCTGAGCAGCTCTTTCTCATCCTCTTTCACCTTGACCAGTCGGACGGGGTAAAGGTTGGGCAGGATCCGGCTAGTGAAGCCACAAGCTCCCACCTGGATGGGTGAGACGGCACGCGTCTGAATTTCTTGAACTCAGCAAGGAATTCTTATTTTCTAAACAGAGGAGCAGATAGTTTAACTTGTTGAGGAAAATAAAGACAGTGAGTAGGAGGCAGAGGTTATTCAGACTGTAACAAGATTCTTTCAGCAGATGCGTCTCCATCGCAAATGAGCGTAGAACTACGTCGACGTTCCGATAATAAACCCCACAATTTTGCTACTCTTCTTCATTGTTCACAATGAAGAAGTTTGTTCATGTGAAATTCACTAGTCTCACTACAGCTAAAAACCGTCTCATTCTAGAGCAAAAATTTAAGAATTATTATTTTTTTTTTTTTTTTTAGAAATTACAGCGTTTCCGTGAAGCTAATTTATTGTGGGTATCCCAGTTTGTGCAGCTGCTCACATCCCGGATGTCTTAAACATGACACGCTCTGCCTCTCATGATGGGCTGCAGCCTCTCACAACGGGCTGCAGCCTCTCACGACGGGCTGCTGCCTCTCATGATGGGCTGCAGCCTCTCATGATGGGCTGCAGCCTCTCATGATGGGCTGCAGCCTCTCATGATGGGCTGCAGCCTCTCACAACGGGCTGCAGCCTCTCACGACGGGCTGCTGCCTCTCACGACGGGCTGCTGCCTCTCACGACGGGCTGCTGCCTCTCACGACGGGCTGCTGCCTCTCATGACGGGCTGCTGCCTCTCACGACGGGCTGCAGCCTCTCATGATGGGCTGCAGCCTCTCACGATGGGCTGCAGCCTCTCACGACAGGCTGCTGCCTCTCACGACGGGCTGCTGCCTCTCACGACGGGCTGCTGCCTCTCACGACGGGCTGCAGCCTCTCATGATGGGCTGCAGCCTCTCACGACGGGCTGCAGCCTCTCATGATGGGCTGCAGCCTCTCACGACGGGCTGCTGCCTCTCACGACGGGCTGCTGCCTCTCACGACGGGCTGCTGCCTCTCACGACGGGCTGCTGCCTCTCATGATGGGCTGCAGCCTCTCATGACGGGCTGCTGCCTCTCACGACGGGCTGCTGCCTCTCATGATGGGCTGCAGCCTCTCATGATGGGCTGCAGCCTCTCACGACGGGCTGCAGCCTCTCATGATGGGCTGCAGCCTCTCACGATGGGCTGCAGCCTCTCACGACGGGCTGCTGCCTCTCACGACGGGCTGCTGCCTCTCACGACGGGCTGCTGCCTCTCATGACGGGCTGCTGCCTCTCACGACGGGCTGCTGCCTCTCACGACGGGCTGCTGCCTCTCACGACGGGCTGCTGCCTCTCACGACGGGCTGCTGCCTCTCACGACGGGCTGCTGCCTCTCACGACGGGCTGCTGCCTCTCATGATGGGCTGCTGCCTCTCACGATGGGCTGCTGCCTCTCATGATGGGCTGCTGCCTCTCACGACGGGCTGCAGCCTCTCATGATGGGCTGCTGCCTCTCACGACGGGCTGCAGCCTCTCATGACGGGCTGCAGCCTCTCATGATGGGCTGCAGCCTCTCATGACGGGCTGCTGCCTCTCATAATGGGCTGCTGCCTCTCATGATGGGCTGCTGCCTCTCACGACGGGCTGCTGCCTCTCATAATGGGCTGCTGCCTCTCATGATGGGCTGCAGCCTCTCATGATGGGCTGCTGCCTCTCATGATGGACTGCAGCCTCTCATGACGGGCTGCTGCCTCTCATGAGGGGCTGCAGCCTCTCATGACGGGCTGCTGCCTCTCATGATGGGCTGCTGCCTCTCATGATGGGCTGCAGCCTCTCATGATGGGCTGCTGCCTCTCATGATGGACTGCAGCCTCTCATGATGGGCTGCAGCCTCTCATGAGGGGCTGCAGCCGTCATGAGAGGCTGCTGCCTCAGCCACCTGTCTGCCTAGGACTTATGTTGTTTTTTGTCTAATTTTCTTCTTTGGACGGGTTGCACTGAAACAATTTTGACTGTGCTTCTTTCTGTATGATGACAACAAAGGCTGACTCTGATTCAAGAAGTGACATGGTGGATGTTAAATAAAAACTAACTTACTTAAACGAGGGTCTAAAAACAAAAGCAGTAAAAAAAGAATAAGTCCAAATTGGGTTTGGGTCTACATTTGGGTTGTGAGGCCTGATCTAAATTCTCAGCACTTCCATGAAAGCACACCTTCCCATCTATGTTGATCAGGCTGCAGTTGCACTCGGTGGCACCGTAGAACTCGGCCACTCT